TGACTCTGCTGGAAAAGATTCATCCTGATAGGCTGGAAGGAGGATGAACACAGGTCCACACACTGCGGCTGGCCATAGTATCCAGTCATTGGCTTGTATCTCATATACATGTCCCAATCAGTGTCTCTTTCACCAGGAACCAGCGTTCATCCACACTTCTGCTTGTCTCACCGCTTCCACCCGTGCCCAGAGAAACCCACTCGTTATGGTTTAATCATAGCAAACATTAACCAGGTTTTCCATAGACGAGTGTTGGCTCCAATTCCGTGGTAAAGAGTGTGTTTCCCTGGCAGCAGAGCAAATGGAAAACTGTTCAGACTCATGCATAGAAAGCATGGGGCAAGCAGAAAACCTCCCGGACGCATGCATTCTAGGCATGGGACAAGCAAAGTGTGGGCCAAACCTCAGATTTCACACACAGGGAGGAATTCAACTTTGTGCTCTTCCTTCAGCACAAGCAGTTCAGCTTGCTGAACAAAAAGATCTGCCCCTCTCCTCTTCCCCCCCTTGTGTGCTGTTCTGGGGCCTCTCACAGCACCTCCCCAAGCCAACTGGGGGAGGAGGAAGGGGGAGTCTTAAAGTGCTGGTGGGACTTCTTCTTGTTCTATCTCCCACTAGCACATCTACTCTCTTGAATCCAGCCTCTAATTTTACTGCCACTGGTTTTACCCATGCTGCTATTAATGTTTGTTTTATTATGTGTAGGATGCAATGTGATGGCAAACCCTCTCTCCTTGGGGGTGACCATTTGGGTCCACTCCTAGTTACTCTCCTATTTTTATTTTATTTTATTTTATTTCAAATCACTGCAGGGTTTCCTGCCCCCTCCAATCTTCTGCTTTCTGTTTTCCTGGGCTGTTTGCCCTAATGATGTACCGTATTTTTCGCTCTATAAAACGCACCTTTTCCCTCCTAAAAAGTAAGGGGAAATGTGTGTGGAGCGAATGCAGGCTGTGCAGCTATCCCAGAAGCCAGAACAGCAAGAGGGATCACTGCGCAGCGCTCCCTCTTGCTGTTCTAGCTTCTGGCTTAGCCCCTCAGTCCCTTCCCCCACCTCCTGGAAAAGCCCCCAAGAGCAGCGCTCCCTTTAAAGAGCCACGCGGAGTGTTCTCCTTGGGGAAAAGCCTGCAAGTGCTGCACACATGCTCCATGCGGCTCGTGAAAGGGAGCGCTGAGCAGAGCCTGGGATGCATACAGGCTCTGCTCAGCGTTCCCTTTAAAGAATATATATTTTTCTTGCATTCCCCATCTAAAAACTAGGTACGTCTTATGGTCAGGTGCGTCTTATGGAGCAAAAAATACGGTGCATGCAAGTTGTGCAAACCAGTCACTTGGAGGAAACTGCCAGAGACTGATATTTTCTGAACTGGTGGCTTGACCTGCAAGGAGTTCAGTACAGTGGTACCTCAGGTTACATACGCTTCAGGTTACAGACTCCGCTAACCCAGAAATAGTGCTTCGGGTTAAGAACTTTGCTTCAGGATGAGAACAGAAATCGGGCTCCGGCAGTGCAGCAGCAGAAGGAGGCCCCATTAGCTAAAGTGGTGCTTCAGATTAAGAACAGTTTCAGGTTAAGTACGGACCTCCGGAACGAATTAAGTACTTAACCTGAGGTACCACTGTATCCATCTGACTTGATGTCAAGAAAAGGGAACCGCTTTGAATGTGGGGACATTCATATTAATATTGGAAGCACAATACAGTGGTGCCTCGCAAGACGAAATTAATCCGTTCCGCGAGTCTCTTTGTCTTGCGGTTTTTTCGTCTTGCGAAGCACGGCTATTAGCGGCTTAGCGGCTTAGCGGCTATTAACGGCTTAGCGGCTTAGCGGCTTTAAGAAAAAGGACACAAACTTGCAAGAACTCGCAAGACGTTTCGTCTTGCGAAGCAAGCCCATAGGGAAATTCGTCTTGCGGAACGACTCAAAAAACGCAAAACCCTTTCGTCTAGCGAGTTTTTCGTCTTGCGAGGCATTCGTCTTGCGGGGCACCACTGTACTGTTGCTCCAAAATATTTGAAGAGAATAATATGACCATCGGAGTCCCTTCCAACGTCATGATTCTATGAAGTAACTGGTGTTTTGTTTTTTTAAAAAGAAAATTAAAAATCTGCATCTGCATTGTTTTGTAAAAAAAAATGCTTCTGTGTCTACTTAGCTATTAATCCAGGGAAGCAGAAAAAGAAGTGGTTAGACATATACACGCTACGCTGAATCACAAACTTTCAAAACAATTTGCCATGCCAGACAGTGGGGGCTTCTGCTTTTTGTAGTATATTTAACCCAATACAGAAATTGTGAACCAGGTCTTTCAACTTCAGCAACAGTTTCCATGCTGGCCCCTATCCAATGCTGGAAGCTGGATGAAGAGAAGTGTGCATGGCCTCTTGTCATTTCCCCATAACCATACACTGCACTGCCTTTCAGATTCCTTTACCTCTCCTCCTGCCGTAAATTATATTGGTATTTGCAAAGAAGCCAAATGCTAATTAAAATGACAAATGCTATAGAAACCTGAGTGTGAGCTCAGGCTGAAGCATGCAAATTGTGAACATACATGAAAAACAGGCACACTATGTAAATTGTATTAATTAGAATAATTTACACCGCAGAACTTGAATTGAATTTTCTCAGTAAATTGCACTTCCTTGGTGCAGTAATAATTAAAGAGTATACAAAGTCATGGCTCCTCCTCTAAAATCTATGCTGCATATAGTACAATTCTTTGTATCTGTGCACAATGTTTGATTTTAATGCCCCCCCCCCCAACCAGACAGCACTGCCCCTGGAAATTCTCACCACTCAGAGAAATGAGGAGCATGTGGAACTATGCACCAGTGTCCTGAACCAACTTGGAGTGCAAGGACTTTAGTACCAGATCACCATGCACTTATCCTCAGGTGGATGAGGAACGGCATGCACAATTACAGGATTTTCCTTATCAATCCAATAGTCAGACAAACCTAGGCAGCATCTTAAAAAGTAGAGACATCACGTTGCCAACAAAGGTCCATATAGTAAAAGCTATGGTTTTCCCAGTAGTGATATATGGAAGTGAGAGCTGGACCATAAAGAAGGCTGATCGCCGAAGAATGGATGCTTTTGAATTCTGGTGCTGGAGGAGACTCTTGAGAGTCCCATGGACTGCAAGAAGATCAAACCTATCCATTCTTAAGGAAATCAGCCCTGAGTGCTCACTGGAAGGACAGATCCTGAAGCTGAGGCTCCAATACTTTGGCCACCTCATGAGAAGAGAAGACTCCCTGGAAAAGACCCTGATGTTGGGAAAGATTCAGGGCACTAGAAGGGGACGACAGAAGATGAGATGGTTGGATAGTGTTCTTGAAGCTACCAGCATGAGTTTGACTAAACTGCGGAAGGCAGTGGAAGACAGAAGTGCCTGGTGTGCTCTGGTCCATGGGGTCACGAAGAGTCGGACACAACTAAACGACTAAACAACAACAGCAATTGTGCAACGAGTAAAATGCAATTGATCAGCTGTGTTCCAGAGAAGTAGGGATGGATTTGGTTCTCCCCAACATCCTTCCCTGCTGCACAGCTGATCAGCAGGATTTTAGATTTTTAGAAACATCCCCCAAAAAACAAGTTACTTTGTATCAAGGATATGTTTTAGCAAAACATTTCAATTCTTTTGCAGGCTTTAAAGGACAGAATTTGAATCCCATGCACTGACTCTGGACTAGGGATGCTCACATGAGATCTCACGGGAACTCGGATTGCCCTGTGAGATCATGTGAGAGCATCCTAGAGCCTTCTGGAGCCAGCATGTCGAGCAGGCTTTACCTGGCAAGCGAGGTGGAGAGCTTAAAGGCTCTTTTCTCACCAGGTAACCCCAAGTGGACTCAGTGCAAAAAGAGCTTTTTAGTTTTCCATCTAAAAAGGGATGAGGTGTGTGTGTGTGTGTGTGTGTGTGTGTGTGTGTGTGTGTATCGACCCTATTCTTATTATTGTAATTGGTTTTAAATTGCAGATGACCACAATGCCTGGAGACAGTCAGGCCATGTGTCCCAGCAGTGACCACAGGAGACGTGACTGCGGAGAGGACCACAGAGAGAAGAAACGCCATGGTGCATGTCTCTCCCATATCGGTCTCCACAGCAGGCACTGTAGAATGATAAAAGCATAGAACCGTAGAGTTGGCATGGACCACAAGCACCATCTAGTTCAACCCCCTGCAATGCAGGGGCGGTGAGCTTTTGCTCGAGTGGCAGTTAGGCATTGGTATTGCTCTGTAGATGGAAGAGGGGAGGTTACGCCATCACCTGCCCCACATATTGAGGGGTAGTTCAGTAAAGGATTCCAGGGCATGGCCCTGTCTGAAGCCTAAGGAGGTGAGGGCCTAGCGGTGACCCTGGGGGAGTTCCTAGTTGATGTGCATCAGCAGGACTCCCCCTACTGGTGGTTAACTCTTCCCAGACTTCTAGCGGACGGGCTGAAGTCAGATATAGTTGGTTAGGACCAATGCCTAAACCAATACCGCTCATCACCTGTAACCAATAAAAGTTGTGACCTTATTTAGCCCATTAACCTTAATGTCAGGTGTCATTATTTCCACTGGGGGGGGGGGGACTCGCCATGCAAAGCCACTTCCACCCTTCGGAGGAGGTAGAGTTGTGGGCTTCATGGCCCCACCATGCGCGCGGTGGCTGGAACCAAGCCCCCTCACGACTGGGCCGCGTCACCTCCTGGCCAGCCAATCGGCTGGCTCTGGGGGTGTGGCCTGCCTTATTTAAAGCAGGACGTGGCCGGGGATCTCCCTCTTTGACGCTTACCAGCTGTTCCTGCTTTTCCCACCCTCCTGCCCTATAAGGTTTTCGTTCTTTGACCTTGCGGACCACAGAGAGAAGAAACACCATGGTGTATGTCTCTCCTATATCGGTCTCTGCAGCAGGCACTGTAGAATAATAAAATCATAGAACCATAGAGTTGGAATGGACCACAAGCACCATCTAGTTCAACCCCCTGCAAGGCAGGAATCTTTCACCCAAAGTGGCGCTCGAATCAACGGCCCTGAGATCAAGAGTCTCATTCTCTACCAGCTGAGCTATCCCAGTAGTCCAACAGTTTGACTTCACCCCCAGAGATACACTCCTGCTATGTCTCCCAAAATAGACAGATGAAACCCATGTTACGAAATTAGTCAGAAATGCAATCAGTAAGTAAATAAATCAAGAGTGGTGGGTTTTGTGATGCAAAATTTCATTGTGCTGTATTTCAGCAAAGAGAGATGCAAAGATCTGCATTTTCCCAGATCTGCGTTTTCGTTCATTGAAATCTGAATGAAAAAAGTTCACAGGTCAACTGCCTAACCACAGAGTGGAACTACAAAATGGTTACTTCCAGGGGTAAGTAAGAAGAGGCTTCACATTCCTGCTGAACACTCCACTGGTTAATAGCCTAATTCAATAAAGCAATTGGTTATAGTAGGAAGCTCAATACAATTAAGATTATAACACTAACAATGAACCCATTTAAATGAAGCTCTGAATGCAATGCAAAGCATTAAAAACTAATATTCATTAAAATAGTTTTTGCACTATTTATACTGAGCACATGGAAAGCATTAATAATTCAGATGTGTATAATGATGTTAAAAACGATGTTCATCTTTACCCCATTTGTTCAGCAGTGCATTTTAATGCATAACCCTGGAAATTATATATGGAAGCAACCCCAAAATGATGCAAAAAATCTGTGCTTTAACAGAAATTCATTTCCAATGAACAGAGCTGGCATCAGGGGTTTGCCATACTTGGACACCTGCTGAGAACCACATCACACTGCCAACCCCAGGAGCATCCTGGCCTCATTTCTCCCTCTCCCTCCACCTCCTCCTCCTCACTGTCACTCCCTGTTCACCTGCCCTGAGTGGCAGTGGCTTCATGGCGACCATAACAACCTTGGAGCTGTCTCAGTGTATTAGCAGCCCAACATATTCTGCAGGACACAGGTATTTTCAAGTGAATGGAAGCCTTGAAGAGCTGAAGTTGGGGCAGGTGTCCTCTGTAACCCCATCGTCAACCACTTCTCAGTGACGCTTAGACTGGGAGTTGCTGTTTCGCTCTGCAAGAGTGGTGGGCTGATTAAAATGGTCAGGCAAACGTGTGGAATCTGATGGATTCCTAAACACTCCTGGTGAGTTTCCTGTCAGCTTGGCTGGCACTCAAATCAAAGCACTGATCAGACTGTAGAATGCACAGGAGCCAACCCCTGGGGGCTTTCCGGGCTTCGGCCCCCACAATAAAATATTTGAGGGGGATGGGCCCCCACAAAGCTGTTGGGCATTCCTATTCAAATGGTGTGTGTGCACTGCATTGTATGATTGATTGCGCAGGGCAGGGATTACCTGGGCCCCCCTGGTAGAATGGGTGAGAAGGACATACCCCTCAACTGTCCTGGTTAAACTGAGACATCCTTTTTTTGCGCCAGAGCACAGCAGCCATTTCGGGCACCACAATCTCACCTTGAAAATGCACTTTCCTCTGGGCCACAAACTCACGCAGGCCACATGACTTGCGCAGGAGCACGTCCCCGGCTTTTTGCCTTGGCGCGTTGGAGGGTATGACATGATCACTCCCAAATGTTCTCTTCTGCACTGCAAGAGATGAAATGGGTGATACTAGAAAGTCGATGGTACTAAGAACATAAGAAGAATCTGTTGCATCAGGCCAGTGTCCCGTTTAGTAGAGCACTGATAACCTTTATCCTCCATAATGGTGGTCATCAATGCTTCTTGCTCAGGATAGTTATGGCGTGAAAGCTCTCTACCATCCCTTGGACCCTGGGCAGTCAGGTTAGATCAAAAGCCAGTAAGTTGTCATATGTACAGTAGAATATTTGTAGAAAATACTTTGTAAAAACTTGTGAAACTAATATTCATGTGAGCTGGTGCATGTGGCCTAGTACGAGGTCAAAAATAGCACACCCAGTTCTGCAAATAGATCTGCTTGCTATCAGTATAATGGGTGGTGTGCATTGTTGCACTAAGTGGAGTACAGTCGTACCTCGGGTTAAGTACTTAATTCATTCCAGAGGTCCGTTCTTAACCTGAAACTGTTCTTAACCTGAAGCACCACTTTAGCTAATGGGGCCTCCTGCTGCTGCCGCACCGCCGGATCACGATTTCTGTTCTCATCCTGAAGCAAAGTTCTTAACCCGAGGTACTATTTCTGGGTTAGTGGAGTCTGTAACCTGAAGCGTATGTAACCTGGAGCGTATGTAACCCGAGGTACCACTGTATGTGTTCGGGGAATGAGGTTCACTTGTGCAACAGGACTCTCCCACCTAACCCCATGTGCACCCACCATGTTCCCACTAAACCCTCTTCTGGGGTTTCCTTAACCTCCCAGAGCAGATTTAGGTGATGCAGGAAGAGGAATGGGGAGGATGAAATGGGAGAAGCTCCAGGAGCAGACTTCATTTAGTGCATGCCACAACTTAGTTGAATCCTGGCCTCTTTTTTAATTCTTAGAAGAAACTTCCATGTTATTTTTATAACAATTATAGTCTGCAAATCGGTTTGCAGAACTGTTTTAAATAATACGCAGTAATATTTTTAGAACTGTACTAAAAGCAGGAAGAGGAGAAATCAAGATAAGGCAGAAACTAAACAGATTCGCAGCATGCTACTCAGAGAGAGGTCTAATTCAATGGTTCTAATTCAAAGGACATGTGCATACGATGACAGACTAGGAGCAAATCCAACTTGAACACAGCAGGACCTATAACTGAATAAAGTGTGATTAGCCTTGCAGTACACACAGATGAAATCACAATCTTACCTGCTCAGCAGTCTTCTTGGTTCTAAAACAGAGCTTTCCAGATTTTTCACGTTAGTGACACACTTTTTAGACATGCATCATTTTGTGACACAATAATTCAGTTTTACATCATTTTGTGACACAGTAATTCAGTTTTACTAGCAAACTACAGGTTAAACTAACCCCTTTCCAGCCCTGGAAGGAGCGTGGGGAGCATACGTGCAACACACCTACACACTGCAGCCGGCACACTAACATGTCGCAATGCACGGTTTGGAAAGCTCTGTTCTAAAAAAAGGCTGGCAACTTTTTTTCTCTAGTCTTAAACAAGCATTTTAAAAGACACATGTCACAACTGTGTAGGAAAGGACCCCTCAGAGCTACAGCACCCTGAGAGAAATGGCTGTGCCATGGGGGGGGGGGTAAGTCAATAACTCAACAACTTAATAAATGAGGATGGGAGGAATAAAATGTCTTTCCAAAGAGTCATATTATGCCACAGAGGCAGCTTTTCCTACTATTTTGTCTATATTGCCTTCCTTAAAATCTCTCTTTCGGTGTGGACAAGGCTAAACTACTTTTGATTTTATAGTCCTACATGTAGCAACACAATTCAAAAGCTACAATTCATGGGAAAACAGACTAGTTTCTTGGGTCAACCCCAGGCTGGATTCTATATTCTCTTCTGAATAGCGCCCCCAGTGTAATCTGTTACAATGGCATTTTTGCTAATAGGGTTAGAATTGGGTGCCAGATATGCTCAGTGAATTATTATTCAAATATTCCTCTAAAGAATGCATGTTGTTGCCAAGGTATGGTAATTCGTAGCAATTTTATTTAATTACACCCGGTTGTTGCTCAATCCTTTCCATAAATGTGAGGATGCCACAAGTTGTCTGTTATTCTGTTCCACAATTACACCCGCTCCCCCACCCACAAATAAACATATATCACAATCTCCTTGGATAATCATAAATCTCAGCTAATACTCTAGATCTCTTCTCACTGGCCTAATATATCACCATTCCTCCTGGGCTCCTTCCCAGTTTTATATAAATGCCCACATAAGTTGTGCCATCAGGTCTGCACTTGCAGGCAAACATCCAGGCCCCACTCGGCTGAATGAACAGGAAGACCCCCAACGCAGTTGAGATGGCTTTTGAAGTGTGCCATCTAAAGGAACCCTTCCTTCAAGACCATGAAGTCCAGTCTAAAACTACCTAGTATTTTCCCATCACTTTTCTTTGTGGAAAAAGTCCAGAGCCTCCCCACCCCACAATCCAATGTTTGATTTGGGTGGATATATTGTGCAAGAGCACAATATTCAACTGTTGCCATTTAACACAATTCATCTGCTTTTTCTGCTGTGTTTTATGAAGGGGAAATATTACTGGTCAAAGGGCATATGCCAATAACAGTCTATAAGTGCTTCAAAACAGGAATCCCAATGAAAAGCCATCTTGTTTCTGCATGAAAACACTGGTCACATCTAGGTTCTGCTGAGGTCTACTGAAGTTCAAAATTAACACTAACTTTCAACGTTCAGCTTCCATTTCAGGATGAGCTTCAAAATTACCCACTGAATAATATCTCTTGGAGTTTTATGAAGAAGAACCTACAGGGGATGGGGGTAGGCCAAGGTTTTGAAAACGGTATAAGTGCAATTTATTTAGAACAAAAGGCTAAACTAATTGTAAATAATGTGGTGACGGAAGAATTTAGGATAGAAAAAGGGACAAGACAAGGTTGCCCAATTTCCCCATTGCTTTTTATATCGGTCCTGGAGGTTCTGCTGAACATGATTAGACCGGTTGGTTAAAGATATACAGGTCGGAGCCAAACAGTACAAATTGAGAGCATTTGCAGATGACTTAGTATTGACGTTACAGGAGCCAGAATCTAGTACCAAAAGAGTTTTAGAACTGATTCAAGAATTTGGTCAAGTTGCAGGATTTAAGTTGAATAAGTTAAAGACCAAGGTTTTAGAGAAAATTTAACACCAATGGAGAGAGAGAGGTTTCAGAATGAGACAGGTTTAACAGTGGTTAAGAAAGTTAAATATTTGGGGATTAACATGACAGCAAAAAGTGGGAATTTATTTAAAGACAACTATGAAAAATGCTGGGCTGAAGTGAAAAAAGATTTGGAAATTTGGTCAAATTTGAAGCTTTCACTGCTGGGCCGTATTGCTGCGGTAAAAATGAATGTATTGCCTAGAATGTTGTTTTTGTTTCAAACATTGCAAATTGTGGACAAAATGGACTGTTTCAAGAGGTGGCAGAGAGATATTTCTA